CCAGCCAACGACACACGACAATCCATCTATCATCAATGGATTAAGATTCGTAAAGATAAATTGTCTACCTTCACTTTGCTAATGGTGAAATTTAAGGAGGCTGAATTTCACCCTTCAACTTTGAGCGTATCTACATGTAGAGATGGACCAATTCACTCAGAGCGTGTCATCAGTAGATATCGCTCCAACCGAATTAAGTAATCTAGTCCAATGTGATTCAGAATTAACAAGTTGATCAATGATGGATTCTCTAACCATTACATGTGTGGACACTGTCTCCTTTAATTTCAATAGATGGAGGTTGAGACCTCGTACAACATCAGCGGCCGGCCAATGTTCCCCTCTTCTCTTTAGGAAATGCGGACCTGTAAAATATGAAAACACAATTCGCTAACAGCGGTATAACTGCGGACGTACGCTATCGCACCATATCCAATTCCCGTGGCATCAATGAATACATGAAGTTCCAGAAGCGGGAGTTCTGATTGTGGAAACCAACCCTCTGAAAGTCGCTTAAAAATTCCAACCAACGAATTCTTTAGTCTTCTAAAGTCTCATCGTTTCAGCCTAGTCCCAATTCGCACAAACGTTGAAGTAACTGCTTCATGGGAAGCATGAACAGTGCTGACAATCTCAAGGGATCATTAAGTGAGGATGCGCTTGATAATATATCTCGCCTAGTGAGAGGAAGTTTCAGGACGCGAACATTAAATTGAAGCGAATCTACCGTATGTTCCAGAATATTCCTAACATGTGTTTCTTAGTAAGCCTTTCAAAGTCAATCTTTCCAACGTCGTCTACTTTTTCTCCTTGATGAATTGATTCGAGAACTTGTAAACAGATACTTGTTTACTTAGTAAGTAAACTAAGAGTTTTGATTTCCAAATATGATTTTAATTGTAAAACCATATATGTTGTTTGGGATAATCGCTTTTTATAATGTGTTCTGTATTTCTTTTATTGTCACTGTATGACTAACATTACCTCTTATTTCTCTGTTGGTAGGAAATCAACTGATGAACTACAGTGATATTCTAGTCTTTCACAAGTAAATTTGATTCAAAAAATGAAAGATATTAAACACTTTTAGGAGAAAATTGATAGTAACTTCTTTCACACTCAAAATATATGCGTTAATAATGTGTTTACAATATAAAGACAGCTTATCAACAAGATTAGGCGATAACTAATTGTCTAATCCTGCCAGAAATTATTTTATCGGGAATCCCGTTGGAACTGAAAACTGATGATGAATTTTATCGTTCACTTGATACCCTGTTTTTGCTGATTAGTATATTAGGTTAACGTCTGTGAATGGTTCACAAACATAGTAACCAAAAGTCAATAGCTTAACCCTCAGTGATATATATTCGGCCGACGAATCCCAAGTGAGATGAGAGTTTTAGATTTCACTGCTAGACATATTCCACTTATTCTATTTGAAAAAGTAATAAATGTAATATTCACAGTCAGGTCTAAATAAGTGTACTTACGAATGCTAGTCAACATTATTCAACAATAACCAAGACGGCTTTATAATGTTTCGAATTATTTGAATTATAGCACTAACTAAGAGTCCTAGAAATAACGCAATTGAACTGAGAAGTCACAAGCACAAACGAATGTACTGTATTTGGAATTCGAAATTGTGCAATCAACATGTACAAAAGTATCATTAGTCAATTCAAACACCACATCCGCCACAGCTTAAATAGAAGTATAAGTGTTTGCAATCGGTTGTATGTCTTCTTGTTAACTTCATCCTGAGTCTGTCCGACATTGTACTGGATGAAAACTTTGTAGTATCTAGAATGTGCTCATTAGTATTGGAATTAACAAACGAAATCGGAACACACTAACCTGGAATTGTATACAATCAGCATGTCGGTTTTGTACCGAAATCATTAATATCTAGAATTGGAACCATATATTTTTCAATACTATCCTCCCCTACGAAATTATGTTGGATCTTTATATCCCCAAGTTATGAATAATGTGACTTCATTGAAAACATTTTTCTTACATTGACTAGAGTATACATTGGAAGTGGATTTGTGATAAGGATGAACAGCAGTTGGTATGAAATCATCCAAATTGTGATCAAAATTGAGCTCACTTAATACTCGTGCTTCGTATTGAACAGGTTTTTCACAAGGATCACATGCATTATAAGGATAGGTAATACATGATATAACATAAGGATTTGATTCTCCTGAGATATTCTTATGAAATTCATTAAGAATGCCATTGCAGATTAATGGATCATTAGAAAAATTAGCATCTATCTAAACTACATCAGGTTTTAGATCATAATTATGTTCACTCAACATATTTTCTTCAGATTTTCAAGAAATTTCATCGGAAATATGTGAATCATTAGGAAAAACCATACCTGGTACAATAGCATGAGAATTCTGATAAATCGATTGGTGAGAAACTGTTGTTTCGCAAGAATTCTGAATTTGATTTAACTCTGAACTGCTTTGTCACTCTACACTGTTCGACTCAGTAGAATCTGAATTACAAGACTTAATATTAGTTGCAGTAAGATGAACATTAGTATTACAGACTGACTGAATATGTTCAATATCACCACATTTAAAGCATTTAGAATTACGAAATTTACATGAATTAAAAGCATGGAACTTGCCACAGGACAAACATTGACCAAACTTGCGCCAATCTTCGTGAAAAGCACTGCAACTCCTCAATGAATTATATGCATAACCTTGAGTATGCACTGGATTAGGATAACGTGACGTAGTAGAATTTTTGATGCCTTGATGAATCATTTTAGGAACTTCCCCTTCTTTACTGCAATCAAAATTTGCATACTTGACATAGTCCAGTAGTAATTCCTTGAGAGTTGTATAAGGAAGCGAAATAAGCTTTCCCGGCATAGCCAGAGTTCTTAACAAGCTGTATGCTTCTTTACCGATGAATGTGAGGAAATATGCCACAATATTAACATCCTCATCATCTTCCTTGGTCATGACCCAGATTTCGAACCTTTCGAAATAATCCTCAAAAGCTTCAGAAGTTGAATGAATGTCTAACTTTACCATTGCAGGCTCAATCGCGACGCCAGCATAATGTTTCGAATTATTTGAATTATAGCACGAACTAAGAGTCCAAGAAATAACGCAATTGAATTAAGAAGTCACAAGCACAAACGAATGTACTGTATTTGGAATTCTAAATTGTGCAATCAACATGTACAAAAGGATCATTAGTCAATTCAAACACCACAGGCTTTCATAAAGTGCGCCTCCCGTAGTTGTACTAGGCAACATTATTCAACAATAACCAAGACGGCTTTCATAAAGTGTAATTCCCGTAGTTTTGCATACGACATTCCAGATCACTAGATCAGTTTACTTGAGTCAATTTATGTAAACATTTCTCTAATAGCCACACACAATACAAAAACTGATGTAATTTACGAGTTATAGCAGTATCTTAGCAACTCATCACTGTGGCTGTGAACCGGCATGTGGAAAACTTTACATTTAATGTGGCAGATGACTTTGACAAGTTTAAAAGTTTTTACATGATAATTTCTAATTAGCTCTTGAGATTTGCAGCACTCAGTTATGAATACTTAACTTTTTGTTAAACTGCCAACTACAACTGCCGTATTGATGGCTTAAAACCCATGAAGTCAATTTTGAAACCAACGAAGTCTCTACTTATTTAAATATACACATAAGTGACATTCTATGAATTTGAGAGATCAATACAAAAATGATAGACGAGTAGGAAAGCTTGTTAAGTGCCGTGACTGATTGTTCTTCAGTAACTATACATGGGATTTCAATAAAAGAATTTAGAGCTGTCAGTCATATGCTCATGTATCTTAATCCCAGTAGTCACTGTTTGAGAACTGAGCTAAACGGTGGTGTCAAATCATAGATTTATGTAAGTCAAAAAATACTTATTTTAACAATGCCCATATATTCTGGTGTTTTGCCCTGTTCAATAGATAATCTAATTACTAAACATCCTTGAATATGTTGTCGTTCTAGATAATCTCATCGGCTCTCACCTCTTCAAGTTGAAGCATTCAACTGAGCTGTAAATCTTCTCCAACATAGGATGATAAATTATGTAAGTTAATTGAATAAGCTTTAAAATTAGAAAACAAAATCTCGGATCATCATTGAGGAGATATTCATTTCAACCAAAACTTAGTTTTATTCTTACTTAAAGTAAATACAAAAACAGAAAAAAAATTCTAAACTGAAATCATTCAAAATGAAAGTAGAACTTGATAATTTAAGAAAGAAAACAAACACCATCAAACAAAAGTTAAAACAAAAAAACAGAATTAACTATTAACAAAATGATCATGTTATGATCAAGATTCAATGAATTCAATTACGATTGATCACGTGAAGTAATCTGTAAGACAAAAGCATTTCAATACTACTTAATACTGATTTAGTAAGTAAATAACCAATACCCCAAACACTAACAACAACAACAAAATTGGAAAGAAGCAATAGCATCATTTAGATTACTACTATATTATATACAGAGAAATGCAATAGAATAACGATGATGGATTAGACATCATAATGGACTAGGTGGAGTTTATCTGTTTGATCATCTCTACAAAATAACAACATTTTCTTTGATTTTGAACATGAATAAACAAGAAAGATAATGATGTGAATACGATGAAGAATCCAAATTACGTAGTTAAAAAAGAAACTAAAATGTGAATAAGGGGAGGTGGGCAAGAAGAGAGATACAATGAAAGAATAGTAGCAAAGGTAAAGGTTAAAAGGTTAAAAAGCAAGATGTAACTGAATAGACGCACACACACAAAGAGAGGGGGGAGAGAAAAAAAGGGAATTTAAATAGAAGAAAGCACATTCTATGCAATTTAACCATCTAATTGATAATATGAACAATGAGAAGTTGAAAGAAACTAAACCAATTCGTCCAATTGTAACATTATTCACAACATTGTGTAATCATGATTAAATGAATCATAGTTAATAGACCCATGTAACTGGTATCCATTGTGGAGTGATTTGAAAGTCATCGATTGCACGTTTAAGTTGAATAATTGTTTCTTCAATATCATTGTTAATAATTTTTAAGTCGAAAAAATGACTATAATGTTGTTCTAATAATGCACTATCACGTGTTAATCTTTCAAGACTTTCATCCTATGGAGAAAAAAAGTGAACAAATTAAAAGCCTAAATGTTTCTAAGGGAAAATCAATGTCTATCATAATTATTATTATCATCAGTATGAGGTTGTGGAGATTAATATGTTTGCGATTGGGATCATGAACTGATTGATGTTAGATCACTGGCTCAATAACCTAGAGGTTAAATGTTCGCATACGAGACTGAAAGCCCTAGTTTCTAATTCCACGAGCGTGATCGTGGGCACGTACTGCTGAGGTGTCCCACAATAGGATGAAACGAACGTCCAGTTTTCCATAGTTTTGAATGGTGGTCTAAAATTAATCGGTCCATGATGTCTATTATTATTGTTAGTGGTACTATACTTATAGTCTACAAAACATTCTAAAACGCACGTCGTGGATTCCTCTGCTAGCCACTATCCATCTTTGCTTAGATTGCTTGTAAATTAAGGTAATATCGAGGCAATACGTACAATATGCACACATGCCAATACGAGACTGATCAATTTCAGTCCTAAACATCAATGGTAAGATTCAAATAAAACAATACCAAGTAAATTGATATTCATAAGATAATTACATGGATTTGTAGCTTATGATAATGTGATGTACTGATGTCAACAGATATCAGTAGTATGTATCATCCATCAAAAGTGAAATGTCTGGCAGCAGAAGGTTAAGAAGATCAAAGGAAAGAAATCGAGAACAAAAAATGATTGGTGTGGAAACGAAGGAGCAATCAAATCGAAGACGATTGATTGACACTTTGCAAATAAAGTATTTACTGAATGCTGCCCAGATTTTATTTTGATGCTCTGTAATTTTGTGTTCAAATACATTCGGTTGTGCCATTTTTCGTTCTCGTTCACTACAATGGGAATTTTAGTGCACTTTTTGATTTGAGTAGCTTAACTTTAAATTTCGCATTATCTTTTTAAACAATATCCTTATCAGTTTATACTTTTATAAAAAAACGGTTTTCAGAATCCCTCCACTATTAACAAAAATCTTATTCTGCCCACATTACATTGAATAAACTGTTTTTCATTCCATGTGATATCATTATATGTTCATTCATTTTGACTGTCCGGGATCAGGTTAAAGGCAAACACGATTGTGAATAAATAATCGCTGTCAATATGGAAGCATATTCAGCGTTTTCTTCAAACATATAAATTAACTATTTCTAAGTATTCCACCTCTCTAGCCTCTTCTACCCAAAAGGTCAAAGATTACATAAATAGAAATGAATTGAAGCCTAATTATAGTGTAATAGCATGACAATTTTTCACTGGTAGAAATCAGTATACATTTATGGAGACAGCTGAATTTTTTTTGTGATCATGAACCGATCAATGTTTGCGCGGAATCGAAGGTTCTGAGTTTAAATCCCGTGTGCGATATAGTGGATGTACATTACTGAGGAGACCCATACTGGAAAGAAACGGTCACCCAGTGCTTTCACGCTACCAATAGTGCTATAGAATTGGTCGATTCATGATCTCAAAAAATTACAAGAAACCTGAACAGATTGATCGTTAATGAAAACATTAGAAATTCAGTGCTGAATTTTTAAGAAGGCATAGCTGAAAAAGTTATAGATCCGTTTGTAAAAATGATATTACGCAACTCACATTATTATTGTTACCATTATTGTTATTCTGTCCATTAGTGATATTAGTGAGAGTTGGAGCTGCAATAAATACAATACATGGAGCAAATTCGGCAGTACGTAATATTTTCAATGCTTGTGGTTCAACATCCAATATAGCAATTAAACTAGTTGCATGTATTTGTCTTATTGTATCCAATTTTGTACCATACATTGCTCCTTCATGTGAACCATATTCTAAGTATTCATTATTAGCAATATCACGTATCATTTCATCATGTGAAATAAAGTAATAGTTCTTTCCATTCACTTCATCTTTACGTGGTGTACGAGTTGTATCTAATTGTAAAATAAATATGAAAATATTTTATTGGAGATTTCTTTTTAAAAAAACAAATGACAATTCTCCAATATCTATATGAAGTATTAACCATGTTGTTAAGGTGTTAGGCAGTCAGTTAGTCAGCAACAACGTAGAACTTCGTACGCACGTACATCAGTTCAAGTTGCCATACCACATTAGCACACAGATACAATTGTCGATCCAAATCACACAGTGGTAGAGGTAGTAAACATATAAGCAGTAATCGGAAACATACGCGTTTGAAGATGTTATTCAAGGAGTATGATTCAATGAAATAAATTTGGAAACAGAAAAAATAAAAGGACATGAAGAATTCAGAAGATTAAAATTTGAGCGAACACAAAGAGTGGATGCACTTGCGCTCAAAGTTTATAATATTACAGTCAGCCATGTATAATGTAGGATCAGGCACATATATGTATCGATCCAAGTTGCCATACCTCATTAGCACAACAAGATGATCAGCAAATTCATAGAAGCAGTTACATCAATGATAATGATATATATAAAAGAAAGGTTGTGTATCATGATATGAGACAGGGAGAATAAATTAGTTCATAGACAGAAAGATATAAAGTAATTTCAATCTCATAGTTTAAGGGAAGACAAAGAGTGTATGCACCCACACCATTGTGATCAATTCTGAGCCATGTCACCTAGAATCTCTAACCACTGGTTGCAATAGTCGCGTGCAATTAAACCAAGTAATTTACATCATAATATTACAAAACAAATTCACTTATACGTTTTACTAAAATTATGATTAGATTATTATCAGTAGTACGAACGTCCTCTTGGATACTTACAACAATTATTTAATATTTGGATTTAGTAGATCAGTGGATAATATGTTGACATTTAAAGCGAAGGTTTGAATCTGAGTGAAACATCATCAATGTAATATACATATATCCATCTGGCGAGTCGTATATAGAATGAAACTCGCCACCTTTTAACTTTAATATAATGATTTAATAGGTTTCAAAACTTTAATATTATGGTTGCAGATAATGGAAGTTAGTTTTCGATCGACTGTAATACTAATTAATTTAGTCTAATCTTCAAAATACAGACCGCTGAATTTCAGTAACAGCTTGTTTCATCAATGGCGATGGATGATATTGTTGCTATAAAGTCAGCTGATTAAAACTGAAAACACTGAATCCCTTCTTGTCGACTCACTGATCTAATAATGACAAAAACTTGTGAATTTTAGGTTTAATCCCTAACGAGGTCATCAGCCTCATATTATCCTCATTCGTATTCCTCCATTGAAAGGAATGATAATTAAAGCAACCGACTTACAAACAATAAGTGTCAAGTTAGACTCAACTCTATCCACATCGTTTCGGGTAATAAAAGAGTATGATGAGTCCTAATGATTTAATTTGAAAGCAATTACATCGGTTAAAGCTTGATCGATAGGAATTTTGTCTCGTGATGCATTTTGGTGATTTCCTCAATGTATGTCCTATCCATTTCCATCGTCTTTTCCTAATTTCTTCTTCAGTTGGAAGCCGGTTTTTTCTCCCGCAGTAGGCTGTTGTTGATGGTATCTGGTCAATGGATGTTGAGTATCTTGCTTAGACATCTATTTATAAATACTCATACATCCTTGATGATGTTTGTAGTAGTTCTCCAAGTTTCAGCTCCGTGCAGTACAACTAACTATCTTGACGTTCGTATTGAAGATTCTGAAGATTCTGATATTGGTTGATAGATAGTTGTTTAGAGTTTCATATGTTCTTCAATGGTAAGGATGCGGCCCTTGCTTTGCCAATCCTCGCCTATACATCTGCATCTGATCTTCCTTGTTCATCGATGATGCTTCCCAGATATGTGAAAGAATCTACATCTTCCACAGTTTCACCATTAATTATTATTGGGTTGTTGTTCTCCATCATTTAATTCAGTAAACAATTAGTCTATGAAAAATTACAAAATAAACTTTTATCAATATTATCATTATGTATTTATAACTCACGAGGAATAGGATATGCAAATTTATCCGGTGATGATTGAATTAAACAATTTTTAATATGACGTCGTCCAACACCATGTGCACCAAGTAATACTAATGTTCTACGACGAAATTGTGGTAATCTGACAACTTCTTCGTATGTAACTAAATCTAATTGATCATAAATAGCTGAATGTTTATTTTTGTATTTATCTTTAAAATGACGTTTACGACGTTTAAACCATGCACCACAATGTGTAATACCCATTTCACGTGATAATTCAGCTGCCTTATTTGCCATACGCCATTCTTGAAGTTCAGGACTAGGAATTAAACCCGCTGGTGCTTGACAATCCGAACCCCATAAACGAGCCTGAACCAAATAAAAAAAGAAACGGTGTTTATGTGTAGATATAATTTAAAAGATAATAATAAACATTCCGAAGATTATCCAACATGGATCTTAAGAGGGGATTGTAAAAAACTCGATAACTTAATGCAGGAGTAACTCATCAGCTTTGAACACGTTACCCCAAAGAAATTTACGTGCAAAATCAAGATGTACAAATTTTCATTTTTCTTCTATAATTCTAATCCTTTTTCTCAACAACAATTAAATGTGTACGATGGTAGTACTTGCCTTATCTTATAACGTCACAAATCACGAAAGGTTTTCAATGAGATTTCTGTAGACTATAATTTACGTTTTGTACTTGTTGGGATTTATTTGCAAAATATACGCAAAGAATTGAGAAGTAATTCGAACATTCAAAAACGTATCAATTAGAAACTTTTTTTCGGAAACATTGCACCACTATGTTATAACAATGTGGCCGCGAGAGTAGTTGCATGCACGTGGCCATGTGAGAGCATTTCGAGAGGGAGAGCTAACTCTCCACACTCTCGGCCGTACAATGGCATTTCAGGGCGATATGATAGACAAATTACTCATCGTCTGTCTAAATTTAGTAGCTCCATAACTATTGGTAAAGGTTTGTATTACCTTACTGCCAACAATAATCTAAACACACCATAAGATAATAGTTCGCAAGTGCAATCGAAGCTTTCAAATAAAGCACATATATCTCAACAAGAACTGAACAATTCCAGTACAAAATATCAAAAAGATGGAATAGCATAAAGTTTCATCAACACATTTATATCCATTAAACAAATGAGTGAGTACTATGAATCAATAGCTCAATGGTAGAATTTGAAGAAATAAGTACCGTGGTTTAAACTATCAATCTGACTATATTAACATTGAGGTCACAAATACATTCAGATGACAAATCTTTCAAATAGAATGAAACAAGTGTTTAGGATTCTCATTGTAAAACACAATTCAATCATACAAATGATCATAATGAAACTATTTTCACATAAGAACAAATGAGTTGGTACATTTGAATGAACATAAATCAATAGAATAAAAGGTATCTACACATTCTTCAAATATAGAAACATATATTATTAGTATGGGGATTTGTGAAGATTGTAGTATTTTGATAGTTGAATTCACGAGTTGATCTAAACTAGACCATCATTGAAAAATAAACTGTGTCGGTTGTGAGATCAATTGAATTTAGACAATAACACCTCTGTATGCTGGATGAGTGGCCTACAGGTTAAGCGTACGCGCGCGAGAGAGAAGGTCGGGTCTCGCGTGCGATCTCGGGATTCGAACCCTGGACCTACTAGGTTGCGCATTGCTGAGGAGTGCCACAATAGGACAAAACGGGCGTCCAGTGCTTTCATTTTAAATGAGTATAGGATAAATGATTATAATGAATATCTATTTCTTACTTGCCACCAATTATGATCATCTTTACTAATAATTTGTAATATATCTCTAACATGAAAATGTATACCAGCTTGACTACATGGTATTAAATCATCATTTTCAGGACTATTATCAAACATTGCACGAACATAGATCTAAAGAAAAGAAAATATATTTAATTTAACGGGCTTTAAAATGTATTCTTTTAAAAGAATTTTATTCATCGGTTGAAGTTCATTTCCTCTACACAGTGAAATGACTAACTTCAAGGAATCTTCACATTTATATTCTATGAGATTGATTAGTTATTCATTCATTCATGATAATAGATGACATTAAAGCTTACAGATTCATAGATCCTCTCTATGAATATGAAGCTGTGAGTTTAAAGTTCTCTAGAATTTTAGAAACTAAAAGCGTACAGCTACCGAATGTACCTCAATTTTCAATAGTTATACATAAAACTCCAGTAAATTTTCCGTGACTGGAGGTAATCACAAGAAAACTTTGAATTTAAGTATCATGTTGGTTGTAACGGAAAGAGAACAGTGAAAATCTCTCTGCAGCTTCTTTGTTGAACAGTATTTTCATTTATTTGTTCCTTCTCCCTTTTGTGTATTCCAACCTTTGTTTCGATCTCAGGTATCAAACCCTTTAGTACTAACTGTCTCTTTCATCGTTTAGCGCACTACTTTGCGTTAGAGAAACTTCTGACTGTATAGCACAGGCTGGACGGCCAGTTTGTTCTAGTATGAGACTTCTCAGCAATGCACATCCCATATTAGGATGAAACGGTGTCCAGTGCTTCCAGGTATCAATTGTGGTCTATAATTGATCGATTCATGGTGTCAATCAAAATTCAATAATCTCCACAATCAAAACTGATTATTCCCTTATTATTATTAATGACTTTATTCAATATTATATTTTTGGTACAATAAAGAGTTCCAAGTAAAGTATTTCAACAGGTTTTATCTTCTTATTTCTTGATCGATCCTGACGATAAATATCGAGTGATGTTAGCAGTTTAGGAATGGACATCTGAATAATTTTCATTCATCTTAATGCATATTGCCTACCACCACGATGTTTCGGATTGTTTTATTTTGTTACTTCTACAGAGAAAGGTCGCAAATCTTTCATAAATGCAGATGAATAGGTTGTGCGATTAGTAGACATAAGGATGTGATAAAACAAACAAAAACAGATAACTTGTTGAAGTATCTGTATGACAGTAACAGATAGCCCAAGTATTCAAGCAGTTTGCCAGTGTTATTTTAAAGTTTTCGTCATTTTCATATCTTAGCATTTTCAACTTAACAGGAAGATAAAAAGTAAATGAATGTAAATCATTGTGACTAATTTTTTAGCCATTTCAACCACTGATCGTAGTTATCAAAAGGAAGCCAACACAGTTAGGATTAACAGTCGATGACTTCATGGAGTTATATTACATTTAAATTTGCTGGCTTTTGCTTAACCTACCACTATTTCAGTCAACTATTCGCATAAACGTTGAAGAGGAGTATAGATTCATTTTCGGGGGGGGGGGTATGAGCAAACGACTACTGTTACTTCCAATACAAATCTAATACAATGATAACATTCACACAAGTATTATTATTAATCCCAAAACGCTTATTGGTACACACCCACAAGAAAATATGGACTAGTTTCGGTAAGAAAACGTTTACTGTCTCTCGAGAGAGAGAGAGAGAGAGAGAAAAGCGTTTGTAGGGACAAATATTACCGATTAAATATTGTTCACATAACTTTGAATTACAGCAAACTAAATTGTTGAAGAAAAATAAACCATTGACCTTAAATAATCAATGAAAACGTTGTGGTAAATGGGATTTAAGAGTTTTTTATTTCAATCAGATCATGAAATAATAATCATTTCAATGAAATAACTATAACAAGTACACGAAGTAGAAGTGTATGTGCGTGTGTGTGTGTGCGTATTTTAGCCATTTAATGATAAAAAAAGATCATACAAATGGATGTTGGCATGTTGACATTCGCTTCATTCAAAAGTATAAGTCATTATTCTTATGTTGGACTCTTAGTGATAGAACTAACTTCTTCATAGGTATGATATTAAATAACAAAAAAATGAAGTACAATTTATGCTTTCAAAATATTAATGTTACCGTCAAATCATATTATTGGATTTTGATATTTGGTTGAAATGTGATGAGGCATTGTGAAGCTCTACTGTAGATGACAATGTAACTTATGCTCTTTTTTTTCCCAAACATTTGTAAACGTGAAATAGAACTTTTCCTGAAGTGCTAATTCAAAAAAAGAAAAGTTTTATAAAGTTAGTTAGTGACTACACGTTTGACGAAGTTGTGAATGCAAGATTATTTATTTACTTTATTATTTATTTATTTCAACACATAGATCTTGGTACAAAGAGGCACCAAATACATATGCTCCACAAAAATCTCATTCGATATATGTGAGGGCACTGAGACTGCCCAGGTGCCCAAACCGGTGCTCAAACCAGGGTGCTTGAGACCTGTGTGGTTGCGTCATAGGATTGAGCTGTACTATTCAGATTGTAGCGTTAAAGCCTATAAAGTGTCTGGTTCTCCTGCTAAACGAGGTTGAGCTGTACTATTTGGGTTGTCACGTGAAAGTCCCGATGGTGTCTGGTTCTCCTGAAAACCAATATAAAATTACCCTGGCCCACAAGAATGTATTATATAACTGCAGAATTATGAGTAAAGATCAATGATTTATTGTTTATCGAAAGAGTGTTGGAAAATGGGAACTTTCAGTCTCGATATATTGAATCTGAAATCCATAAAACTAGATATTTTGAGTGGTAAAAGTTCAGTGTTAAAATTTCTTGAAATCTTTTTAATCAACATGTATTTGTGAAATGTATTATTCATGAATAGCCATTACTTAACCCTAATGTGTTTATTTATTTATTTATCTAAACATATTAACATTGGTACAAGAAGACACCAAATAGATATGCGCCACATAAATCATTCGATTTATGCTCTGATACGGCCGAGAGTGAGGAAATTCAACTCTCTTTCTTGAAATGCTCTCACATGGCCACGTGCACACAACCATTGCCAGAGAAATCCTACTCACTGCCTTCACGCGACGAGGATGTTCTTTACGAAATTGAATGTCCGGCAATTTAACCGGGTTAGTGGATTTGGAGGATCCACCTAGAAAGGTTAGAAAACCCTGATTTCAAACCAATGGTGCACATGGGTCCCGTATCCTGAAAGATCCTATTGTTGGTCACTGGCTACCATGGGACTGAATCTATTGACGTTGCTCCATTGCCTCGTGGATCAAACCTTTGGGTCGAAGGCTTCGGTTGTGGTCCTCTAAGAAAACCATCCATTTCGGTTTGGGCACCGGGACAATGGCGCACCCCAATGCGTATTAATGACTAGAATGAATATTTCAGAAGGTTAAAAATGATCATAACATTAATCTATGAAATCGTTAATCATCAGTTGTGTGAAAAATTTTAAATAAATTCTATGTTGATATCTTCAGGCTAATAATGACATAAATGACATAGTTTATCATTGATCATGGTGAAAAATTTTTTTCTTTATTTCTCCCTTGGATATTTCATTTTATTATCATTTTACATCCACACTTACGAAGTTCATTTGTAACTTACAAGCCTTACTCTTTATCTCTAGCTGTTTTTTCACTATTAATTTTCTATGATTTGTCTATCATGATGTTGATGTGTACAGTAACAAATTATCCTCATATTCAGATATTCCAGACCCAACATTCTTAATAAATGACTAATTGATTTACTGTTTAAATAATTCATGTTCTAACTATGATTTATATGAGCCTTAATACTGATTATCCACTATGTATTATTAAGGTCAGTGTGTCAGATATTTATCCAATGTAAAAATATTCAACATTCTGAACTTTAATTTTCTTTCGCATACTTCACATTCATCATCGAAATTTCTTGATTAATACTAATCTATGGTGTATTTTTTCTTAGATCCAATTGGTAAATTACAACATGATCATAAGTGATTTAATTAGGAGTTTTATCAAAAATGACTGATCTCTTTCATCCTTAAAACCAGCGAGTTTTTTTTTGATGAAGTTTTGTTCTCTGAGCTGGATGGTTTGGTCTTGGAGCTTTCACAGTTCTTCTAAACAACATCATCAGTACAAACTTCAGATAAAAGTGAAGTGTTCGAATTTCGCCATATGCATTTCACAGCTTGTCCTGTACACCTTGACGTTGAAGTTTGTGCTGATGATGTCGTTCAGAAGAACGATGAAAGCTCCACGATCAAACCATCCATTTCATAGAACAAAACTCCATCAAAATCATCCACCAGAGCTACAAATCTTCTCCACCAGCGAATTTGATTAGTTTTAAAGATTGATTTTGTTTATAAATGAAGATTATCTCTTTTAATTTCTTACTATTGGTTCATCTGTATTCTTTTGAAATTGTACCAAACATACACGTGTCACTTGTGGTTGATCTGTATCTGATTCCATATGATCATCTTCATCACCATTTAAAAATGATGACAGTGGTGGTGGAGTGACACGAATAGATTCAGGGCCATAAACGTCTTGAGCTATTACATCATACGTTTGTAATAATGCCTGAAATAACAAAATTTTTATCATATTAATAGATATAATGATAATAAGGGAAACTGTATACTGAAATTATTGAACATTTAAATGATAAGATTTTGAGAGGGGTAAAATCTTTGTAAACTAAGTCATTTCATTTATCAAAGCCTCATATGAAAGAACCACAGTATGAGTTTTGTTTCTTTACAGTAGTAATATCGAGTGATCAAGATTTAAAGAGATATTTAATGATTATTTGACTAGAACCATTTTCAAATTGATTAATAAAGTCAATGAATATAAAATGACTTAACAAAGTAGAATGTCAATAAATGACTGATTCTAGCAGACTTCAATCTACTTAGAACCAATTTCGCGAAACATTCGTATGTTGGAGGTGAAAACTCAACTGTAGCTCGGTTCTTAAACCTAATTGAGGATCTGGGATTATACGAAAATGTGAAGTCCGCAACTCGTTGGAGAAACTGCCAGATACCGTCGTGCTTAGACTGGGTATTTACAAAAGAAAAATTTCTAGTTGACATCCTCTCAATTCTGGCTCCTCTGAGGAAAAGCGATCGCGCCGTGCTAGCCTTCAGTTTTGTCAGCAAAACTGAGTTGAGATATCCCACCAACAACAGGCGCTGGAATTTCAAACGGTATGAATGCGTCAGCTCTACAGGTCTATCTCCAACAGGTGGATTAGGATGTTCACCCTCAACTCGATGTGGATTCTCATTGAGCCTTCTTACTGCACACGCTCTTTTGTGCTACAAAGCAGTCAGCTCCTCAAACGGTCTCACACAGCTACAAGCAACCAACAATCATCAAAAACCGCACTCTTCGTTTGCTAAGCCAGAAAAAATACTGTTGGGCATAATATAGACGAACTGACAACAACGGCGCGTACAGACAATTCAAACATATAAAGAACGTATGCACGAAGGCTATAAGAGAAGATAGGCTCCGGTACCAAATAAAGCTTATGGATAAATGTGTCTCCAATCCGAAACGCTTATACCGTTATGCAGTTTCTCGCTTCAAGCCAAAACTGGAGTTTCCCAACTGATAGGCCCTAACGGCCCAAACAATAACGACAGCGACGCCGCTCACCTTTAGGCTGAACAATAATAATTGACAGTAATGATTGATAAGTATTGGTTTGTAGTAAAGAAGAAGAAGGAATCGAATGAGACAGAAATAGAATTGAACAGATTAAGCAGAATTATGACTGAATGCTTAGTCGTTTGCTACAACCAAGATTACTAACAATTTTATAACTTGATACAGAAAATTTTACTTTTCAATATGAATAAAAAACTTGTTTGGCAACCATTATAATGACTCACATTAGTTGCTTGGTTTGTTTTAAAAAATAAGAACAAAGTATCCACGGTAATTAAAGAGTGGTTTACACAACATATTATTATAATCTTCTAAGATAACTAAGGAATTCTTTCATATTTTGTGACAGTGTCAATTAGAGTTCTTTATAGTTAGAGAACTGGCATAGTTTATTGATATGAAGCGCTGACATACTTTTGTTTTGTTTTTGCGGCACTGTGACCTGATAAACATCTTATTGTTTTTATGGAATTCATTCATTTTATATGTGATGACTAATCTCAGATAGATGTGTCAATATTAGTCTATATATATTTTGTTATTTGTGTATATAAGCAACTCATGTTGATAAGCTTAGTCAGCATTCATCATCATTCTGGATGAGAATGCTACTTTCTCAATTATCCAGACGACAGAAAATTCTATTATTTGTTCTTGTCATCAGTGTAGCTTGTGCAGCTACTGTTGGAATCGCATTATTCGTATATTTCTCAAAGAAACATTCATCTGGTATGTTTAAAAACTATTTTATTCTAGTTATATCATGACGATTCTACTAAAGTTAGTTATTTGATGACATAACATGTTACATAAGATTGATTTTGATTGTATTGTTGGTAATAAGATTATTCTGAAGATATTTGCTACCACTTATTGTGTGTTTCTTGTACATTTGAACATCTGGTTAACAGAAATTAGTGAAACAAGTCAAACCACGTGAAAACTGATTTCTTGATTATACTGTGACATTTCTTTACGAATTACCATGGAATTCAATTTTCAAGTTATATTTTTACTTCGCATAGTCCTTGAATTTATAAGTGACTAGTACTTAAATGTATAAAGGAATTTATATTTCAAAACACCAAGATTTTCTGTTTTGAATAACAAATCGGAAATCAAAGAAGACATGCGTCGATTATTTAGAACCTACTCATAACAAGTACACAGTGATGCTTTACTGAATAACAGATTGATTGAATTGAAGGAAATCATTATATTTGCATCGCTTAATATTCGCACTTGAAAGACAATCAACCATGAGGTGAATTAAGAACATGAAAACTGTTGAAAGTGAAGAACACGACGATCATAGATAATAATATTAATTGTATGTATATAATATAAAGTTCGCCTATAAATTATAACAGAATAATAATAATGATAATACACATTGTAAAACAGCAAAATGTTGACACACTTCACACCAACAGTGCCACATTGTTTTCTCCCAGTGAACTGAATTATTCGTGAAATGGTACATTGACTTTTGGTCTTGGTAGAGTGAACTGTGTTATCTGGTACGGCAGTTGCTAAATATTGCTCTTATCTTTGAATAATTAATTGTAAGATTTTTAGAGATTCAGTCAATGAATTTGACCCTACATTCCTAAATTTACATTACTTGTATTCATTCTCAAGTACGTCAACTTATTACTTCGTTGTTTTGACTTGCGTGATAAGCATGAAATTACACTTACTCTGTATGAAATTTGCTTTGTCTTCTCTCGTTTATAGTAAAACCATGCAATAATGATAACTGTTCAAGTATTATTACCACTGGTAATACCAATATAATCTGTGATAGTTTTGAGCAACACACTTGTGACAAATTCTCCCAAAATGATTATCCGGATAATCTGCCAGTGAAAACGGATGATATCATCATGAAGATGTGTGAGTTTTTCATATACTTTGTCTAGTGGTTGCATTTGTTCAAGCTTGATTTATTTAAAACTAGTTAATGTCGATTTGGTTTATGCTAGTTTTGATTGAATCCCATGCTTTGTATTTATGAGTATATGATGGTTGTTGTTAAGAACTTGTCATATGCTGAGCAACATAAATATGGAATTGCACAACCGCTTATATTTACTAGTATTTAAAAACGAAGGCTAGTTCTGAATTATACATCACCATCGAGGTTGGTGTTGAATAGAACGAATAAGCAACGTGATACGGAAATTACTAGTTTCCAAAATAAATGTTGTCGTGTTTGCATTCTGACTTGCTACTTTTCAACTCTTACTCTGAACACTTATTTGAAACAATTTAGGAAAACTAGATCCGGACATTTTTAAACAAGTTTGTTGAAATGAAACAGTATACTTGAAGGAATATGACAGCTAGAAAAGTAGCATTAGCAGTTGGAACACAATTCATGAAGCGCTGCATTGGATCAACGTTGTTTATCACCATTCAAAACATTATATATCGAATACTTCAATTCAAGTTTCATGTACAGTTAACACTTCATGCACAAATCCAATCACAATCAAACCCAACAACTCATCCGAGCACTTCATTGCTTTTAATCTGTTTATTATTCTGATTATTGGTCATTCCGCTCAAAAAACGGTGTTGTTAGCAGTCTTACTTAATGTAGCTAGAAAGAGAATGTAAAGACCAGTTGTCTGCACATTCAATAAAGACAGAACTTCGGAAACCGAAAAATGGCTGGAATGTACTAAATAATTTGATGATGTCTTCTAGTGTTTTGTATTGTTATTCAAAAAGTAGAAATTCGAACAACTGTGTTTTCTGTCTTATCTTGTTGCTCTGGTCGTGCCTCAAGAATAATTGTGTCCCAACTGGTTTACAAAGCACTTTAATAATAGCGTATCTATTGGTGAAAACGAGTGTTCAGTTACGTGAACCGCCCCGATGCAATCATTATCTATGGAACATATAGTGATTCTTCGAAATAACAACACGGCGTTCTGTAAGAAAAACAAGATGTATTTCAAACATCGAAGTCAGTGTTGGAAAACGACAAGTACTGGTCAACACAACAACAACAGGAAAATGAGTTCCTCAGGTTTGTATTTCTGAATCTCAACAACTGAATTCAGAGTCCTCACTTGCATGAATTAATGTGATGACTGATATGTGGAATACAACGAAATTAATGATCGAATTGGATGATTCGGGCATGATTTGTTGGAGCAGTGTACTGCAAACCATCATATATTACCAAATATATAAATAGGTATTAAATAGATAAACATCACTAAAACCCATTTGACATTATCAATTTATGGATTTCTTTCACTTTTAGTTGAAAGTACAGAATTAAAAAATTTATCGAGTATTAATGCAGCTAAAACTTTCTACAACACTTGCACGATTGATCATTCGATGGAAAAATCGTTCATTCAGTCAAAAGTTCATGAAATGTCAGAAAAGCTTTTCAACGGATGGGCGATTTCATTAGATAAGAAACAGGCAGTCGATTTCTGGAACAACATTCTTGCAACTGAAATGTTTAATCTGACTGCTCTCATTTTGCCACTGATATTTCAAAGTGGGACAACAACTTTCTTTTCCATTAACCTAACTGAAGGTTATTCACAAGGAGACAATCGACTAATTCACGTAAGGTTTCAAACAATACATGATTTAGTTATTTTCATGCATATTAAGTTCTAAATACATAGTTAGATACTCTTTTCAACTTGCAATGCTAGCCATCTGAATTTTGATTGAAAACTAGTAAAATGACTGAACAGGTCGTCACGTACGTGAGTTACTCTTGAATAAGTTTTAAGCGAGTCAGATATTTCTAAGAGCAATTTCTCATTCAGTCCATTGATGAGTTTGACCACACTACCGTCATGTACTGATGATTCCTAGTACATTAATCCAATGATTTGTCCTAAAGTGCAAGTTGGCGTATTTTTTTCGCTGTTCCATGACTCACTAAAATC